TTATTCACTGGGTGATTATTACGTATTCGAGTGTAATCTTTATTAAAGATTTTATTTCGAGTCCTAACTTTTACGAAACTTGTGCGGTTCATTGAGGATTTTGGGCACCACAATACACTTGATATTTCTATGGCAGTCAGTTATGGATGAATGTAGCCTACTCAGTATATTAGAGATAATGGGATAGAACAATAATTTTTCTAATATCACATGCAAAGTAAACAGAACTTTCAGTTTGAAACTACCGTTACTCAAAGGTTGAAGTGACATTCGAAATTGTTTCACTGAAAAAATCCCTACTTTGTTTTCGACTCATTCCCTACCCAGTTACGCCCACAAACACAGCACTTCATTAAACTGCATCAAAAACATCTTGAAAAGGTTTGATGTCGGCACACACAGAAAACTAAAATTACTCTGCTATTTCATTCCTTTTAACCAAATGTTTAAAAGGAACTGGATTTTAGTAAGTATAAATCATGACAACAAGAAATTGTATTCATCATCCGATAATGCTAATTTACTATAACTAAGCCACCATACATTGTTAGTAAATTGAACCTCACTAGACTGGTACGACATGACAGTAGCGTTATCATTTATGATTTTAGAAAATAATAAAAATAAAATTTAGAAATTTGAGTGACCAACTGATATTTGAAATAGTGAGCTAAAATAAATCGATTTACCTTTTTGGACAAAATATACTGAGGTAGATATCAACTGGTGGAGGTATTGGTTGGATTTTTATCATTTTAGCTATTACAGGAAAATATTTTATTGAAAAATAGTTATACATTAGTTGACGTTTTACTCATACCTCTTAACATTAGAAAAGGTTAGTATTACTTTCGTTGTATCCAGACATGATATTAGTTAGTGTTAACTTGAAATCTTCAATAAATCTTCAAGGCTTCGAATTCTATAGTTTCTAAAATTTGATAGTTTGTTCAAAGCTGATAAATTGGTTATTTTGAATGTTTAAAAGATCCTGATATATTAGACTACCACTGAAAACTGGAAGCACTGGACGGCCATTTTGTTCTGGTATGAGACTACTCAGAAGTGCGCATCCACGAGCCCGGATGCGGGAAACAAACCCAGAACCTTCGGTCTCGTTCACGAACGATTCATCTATTGACCATCGAGCCGGCATCCAAAGTTGTTAATGTCCAACTTCAACTAATCCAAGAGATTTCGCGACCAGGTTCGATTGTCTTCACGGATTAGCTCCATTATTCAAAGCTTCTCACTAGAACTCTGAGATCGATAGTGGTATAACACTGATCGATTCATGATTTCAATCAAAAGTCAACAATCTCCACAACCCTTCATTGGTCCTGATATCTTTTGTACAATGAAAATGTGCTATGATCTATATTGTAATAGTGACGGATAATTCATGTATGATTCATAGGTATTATTGTATCAAAGGCTAAAAATCAGTTCATATAATTGTGCTCTTACTTAAACAACCCCAAGATCACTATATTTATCGGAAACACTGTACACACACAGAGAAAACACTACATATGAGATGGTTTTACTCCATACACTTTAAGTTTATGCTTCAAAACCATTTCTTTTTCTTCAATAGTTAGAACTGTAGGGAATTTATAATTCACACTTAATCTATTTCTTAAATGTTTCATCTAAGAACGTTATCCTACCATCCTATCATTTAAGAGATCAATCAGTTGTAGTTATTGGTATGGAATAAATTAATGAGTGTAGTAAAAAAGAATTCCTATTGTCGGGAAAATTTGAAGTGAGATGATTTTGAAAATTTTTCAAGTTGTCTGTTCTTGCATAACACACTCTCAAAGGACTTTTATAACGATCATAGATCGAACGTCAGAAATTCCATTAGTTTCATCAACTAATATTTATTGATCACTATAAGTCTTCATACAACACAAGAGCCAATTAGATAACAAAAAATTAATTGTCGGAATGGAGTTGTGGAGGTAGATGGATTTCATCGGAGTCCCGAACCGATATAATTTAGACAACTATTAAAAGCCATAGGGCACTGGATGGCCGTTTTGTCCCAATCCAAATACACGACTCCTTAACCGGGAATCCAACTTAGGGACTTGGGTATAACTCGAACACTTAACTTTTAGACCAATCAGCTGAGATCCACTACTGTACAAGTCTGGATTCAGTCAATCCACAATACTGAGCCACCATCTTCCTTTGTCTTTAGTAGGTATATTTCCCACGGAAGATAAGTAGCAAACTAGTAAGGAAGTAGATCTGGTGGGACTGTTGTTTCCGAACTAAAGCGGTTTTAAATTAGTGAAGACTGTGGAGATTAGTTCAGATACTCATGCTCTTGCCCAATGGAAATTAAAAACAAACCCGTTATCAGCCCTTAAAAAAGACTATTTTTAAGTGAAATTCGTCTCCTCAAATCTCTCATTTAGGTAATAAATACCAAGTTTACACTTCTCACCAAGTATATGAGAGCCTAATTCTGTAGTAGAGTAAAAATATGATGGAACGTCTTATATTTGTCTCAAGTAACCAGGATATTTTAGACAGAATACAGGTGTGCTAACCTAAAATAAAGTAGATTGTGTTGTACATAGTATGGTTAGGGATAAGATTAGGTTATCTATTTTCAGTCATGTCCAGTCGATTAAGCGATAATGGATACCATACGTAGCACATATAATAGATATTTTAAGTCGGCAATTAGCAAACCAATATGGAAATTATTTTCATGGACTACCCAACTTATCCATATGTTAATACACTATGATACTCCGTGATTTTTAGATAAGTGACGTGATCCCTCAGGCAGTATAACTGATACTGACAGTATCAGTATGATTAAAAGTTTTGCACATAGACATGTGCTTAGTAAATGAATTCCTTCTCATTTCTAATTAACAAAACCCTCTTAAACTGGAGCTAATAATAACAAGTGAATGAGTTATGAAATAATTATTAAAAATTCCATAACAATTGAAAATATACATAAAACAAATTATTTGGTGAGAAATGCTAAATAAACCTTACATTTTGTGGTTGGAAATAATATAAGCATGAAATGACATATTCGTCTTCACATATGTACAATTAAAAAGTGTCGGTCATGCAAAGATACTCAGATATAATTAATACGAGGTTTGGCATATTATTTAGACTTTCAGAATCCAACAAAATACAACCCGATTATATGCTAATCAACAATATAAAGACGGACAACAAATCAAATGAAGAGAAAATATGAAAAAAATTACCCAAACTTACAAGACGTCTGTACTTTACCGTCATTTTAGTCATAACCCAATCCTAAAATACTAAGATTAACTGACGATCTATGAAATCCTCAAAAATGGTCATAGATAAGTGGGTTTTCGTTAATAAAGATCGGCTTCCCTTCAGTCAGTAATAATTAGTGTACAACTTGTTACAAAACTGATTTGATATAAGCCACTATACCATGACAGAATTAATTCAGCAAGATGAATACCAAAGAAACTCAAAATAATGTAGCAATGATGATGAGAAAGATTTAACACTGAGAATACGGTATGGAAAGATAGAATGAAAAGTTATTAATGAAGAAATGTTGGAGCTTAAGATCTGGAGGAAGATAAACAGTGAGTGCATCTTGATCAGTGGAACTGATTCTAAATCATGACTGTGAAACTCTCAAATCACTGACTGATATCATCGCACAGACTTCAATTAGGTAGTCTGTATCTACCAACATGTCTCTTTTACATCACTAATATAACAAAAGTACCCCATATTGCAAAACGTACAGAGCCATAATGCAAATGATTGAGTGAAACATAAGACAGTAATCTATGATCAACTTTCAGGCCAATAAGTAACAACAAATCGACTGCAGTTATTTCTCAGTGAAGATTAAATTATTCATAGAATTCTACAAAAAACCCACCTTTTAATATACATCATTGTTAACTTCAAACAAATAAATAATGTACCCTTAAATAGGTCGAGGAAGTTTACTAGTACGAATCCCAGCGAAAACTAAGCTGGCTCCAAAAAGTTAGCTTCACGACGATGCAAGAGAATCTGGGTTGCGTAATTCTAAGGTAACAATCACTTTTACTATGATAACTCATATTTCGCCTCCTACAACTTCATAATTAACTTCAACTAACTCTTTGGGTCCCGTATAGTTTAACGATATTAAACCATATCTTTTTGACCAACTTTAAAACTAACAGATAGTTAGTTCTAGTAAATGAACCAAGTGGTATCTTATCACTCACTCTTCTAACTAGTACTAGGGTTGCCACATGGGTATTAAGTGAACAGTACTCTGCATAAGCAATATATATCCAAAACACAGCTGTAAGGATCGCAGTGTAGTGTGAATAATAAGTAAATTTACTCAATCACCAGGTCCTCATGTGTGAGGGCTTATGTTATTGCCTCGTCGCTCGCACTAAATTAGGTGTGGAGGGAGTTACTCTAAGAATTGACATAGTGTCAAACGTTAAGAAAATGCTCCAGTCAATGATGCTAATCAATAGATTTCTGATAAGCTTGTTAGCTATGAAGTTGGTGCTTATCTCTGACGGAAACTTATTGAAGTGAGCACTTAGCCATTGATTTTGATAGATATTCCCATACGATCATCATACAGTTACTAAAAGATAGTCCTACTATCCAAAATTTAGACTGAGACACTCATTTACCACAATTTTAATTCCACACTAATTAGACCAATGGAACGAACTTATTGGTTGGAAGTCAAGTGCCTTAACGAGTATGCCACCGCTCCACTGGCAGTAAGTGTATTCTAACCGAGAGATATGCAATGAGGGAACATTTAGACTGAAACTACCCCGACAGTATGTTTGGCTTCTACTTCACTTAACTCTACTTCAACGGTCAAATACTATCACTAGCCTCTAAGTAAGGAATGTAACTGAACTGAGTACATGAATCTGTACTTGGTTATTGAGCAGTATCATATGTTAGTCGTGTTGTCAGTGGAACAGAAAACTGGTAATGCATACAAAAGTATATTTCTAAATTCAAAACGAGATGAACAACAAACGATTCCTACGTCTTCAAGAAAACATGCAAGTCACATGCGGATAAAGGCTGTTTGGAAATTTGAAGATGAGTCCAAAAACAATGAAAAGTGGGGACAGGATCGGCGAGATAATACAAATGCGTTCAAAGCTCATCCTTTGGTGAACTTGGTTGATTTTCCTATCCATGAAAAATGAAAAAACTAAGTTTAGCATTCCGAAAATCAACATGCAAAAATACCAAGCACCAGATAATGAACTTACATCAATTTGCGAAGATGCTTCTGACTTTTCGTTCGTTGAATCTTCATTTGAAATCGACTCCTATGTATAAATTACACTTACATTATCAACTTACTTTATTCCCTTCATCCGTTACAGACTCCTCATCAGTCTCAGGTTCTTCGTCCAGCAACTCGCTTTGATCAATATCTAAACTTTTCTTTACAACAGATTCAACTCGTTCTGCGAAAGCAACAGGGTTCTTAACAGAAAAACCTGAACGAAGGACCGCAACATCGAAGAGCAAATTCGCAGTATGACTTATTGTAGGATCATCTTTATAGGTCTTTATAAGAACGTTTAACTTTTTCATTACTGGATGGCGTGGGTTAATTTCAAAGACCTTTTTCATAGTAGAGTAATAAGTAGATGATGGATCTCCACCCCTTTGATATGCTTGTGCAGTCATAATGCGCTCCATATTTCCGGACCAACCGAATTCATTAGCGACAAGAGCACATGGAGTATTCAATAATCTTTCTGACAAGGCAGTTTTATCGACATATTCTTTCAAATTTTCCTTAAACCATTCCAAGAGAGGTTTGAATTCTTTTTCTAGTTCTTCTTTACGAGTCTTTGCTTCTTCCGATTTGTCGATTTCGATCGTTCCCTTTGCCACATTTCGTAACTTTTTCTTATCATATTCAGTTAGCGACTGAAGCATGTACTCGTCAACAGGATCGATCATATAAATGACTTCATAGCCTTTCTTGATTAGCCTTTCTACAAATGGAGATGACTTCGCCTCAGTTATTGAAGATGCGGTAAGATAGTATATATCTTCCTGACCATTTTTCATGCGTGAAACATAATCTGCAAGACTTGATTGGTTTTCAGTGCTGTTTGAAGTCCAAAACCGTAGGAACTTGGATAACTTAGTGCGATTTGGAAGATCGTCAATTATACCAAGTTTTATATTCACAGAGTATTCCTTCCAGAAATTTTTAAACTGAGATTCAGAAAGTTCGCTAATCATCTGGAGAACTTTCTTGACCAATCTTATCTTTATCAATTTAAGGAGTTTGTTTTGCTGCAGCATTTCACGAGAAACATTTAGAGGAAGTTCGTCACTATCCACTATACCAAAAACGAATGCCAAGTATTTAGGAAGCAGATCATCGGCTGCGTCAGCAATGTATACACGACGAACGTACAACTACAGAATATTTTAGTACATAGTATAAAATACTTACCTTGATCCTATCACTATGAGTACTGTGCATCTGGAATATGTTAGAGGGAAGATGTTTTGGTATATACAGTATTGAACTAAATAACACATTTCCCTCACCACTGAAATGAATCTTGGCGAGAGGATCGTCATTATCATTCGAATAGGCACGGAATAAATCATTGTACTCCGCATCAGTAACGTCGGCCGGTTTGCGTTTCCAAATAGGTTTATTTTCATTCACACGTACCCAGTCCCAGACGACTTTGTCTACGGTCTTGCTTTCACTTTTTTTTCCACTTTCTTCTTCAACCTAAAAGAAGTCGTAATTAAAGGCAACACTTACGCTAGCTTCAGAATCAGCTGTTTTTGACTCCTCCTTTTCTTCGGGTTCAGCAGCCTGCGATTCCACCCGACTCGACCACACATAAATGGGGAAATCGATGAACTGACTGTATTTTTTCACAACTTCTTTAAGAGTTTCGGGTTGTAAATAATCTTCTGCCTCCTCCGTTAAGTAAAGGACAATTTCAGTCCCACGTTTAAGGGTGTTTCCACGTGGGTCTTTGTAAACTACGAATGAAGTGGAATTGGACTCCCAGATATGCTGGTCATCATTATCACTCTTGGATACAACCAAAACTTTGTTTGCAACTAAGATATGAACAAATTATTTATGTGTACAAACCTAAGAAAGAGGAGTAGAACCCAACACCAAACTGGCCAATAAGGTCAGACTTTTCTGTGGCCGTATTACTTTGAGAGATCTTAGTCAAGAACTCAGATGTTCCAGACTTAGCAATGGTTCCCAAGTTAGAGGTAAGTTCAGCTTCTGTCATGCCTATGCCTGTGTCTATTATATGAAGTGTCCGTGCATCTTTATTGGCCTTAAAGGGTTGTTAAATGTTTACTAAGAAAACCTACTTTTATTCGGATTCTCATTTCTTCAGACTCATTAGGAACTTCATTGTTAGTAAGCGAAAGAACGCGAATCTTATCCAGAGCGTCTGATGCATTTGATATTAATTCTCTAAGGAAGATCTACACAGTCAAAGAAAAAACCAACATTACCTCCTTATTTTTGTACAGAGAGTTAACTATTATTTTCATCATGCGATCAACCTCAGCCTCAAACTGTCGTTTTTCAGCATGTTCCCGTGCTTGCTTCAACTGTTCAACGCTTAGACCATCCAAGCTGATTGCCTCCCCTTCTCTAGCATGATATAAAAGTATTATTCGTGAAACTTACTTAGCTAAAGTGTCTGAGGCTGTTGAAAGTCCCTCATTAGGTTTTGATACAGGAATATCAGACAGTAACGATGACGGATCACACAATACACATGCCAATACAGCTATTTCCATCGAATAAAAAAGTTGAAACCATAACTTACTAACTACCACTAGGCTATGTACCACGGACAGATCCCATGGTCTCCCCATTGTTAGAAGATCCTGACACCCACAACGCGAAACAGGACTTAAAAATATGACTAACAAATGTGTCTAAAAGCTATTGGTTAATCTAGGTCTCTCTGCTTGCTTAAAACAAAGTAAGGTCAACAAACTTTCAAGATACAATTTGGTTCACTACACCTTTCAACCACTGAAATGGTTAAAAATATGTATTAATTGACATATTAAACTCGATTACTCCTACATATTTGCAATGTCTCTCCTTGTTCACCGATCATTCAGACAGTTATAAGCAGAGTTGAGCATCCAGAAAGATTCAGCTGAGTTATTCGTTGTAAGGATCCGACAAATGCATACCCTTGAAGAGAATGTTACAAGTACCTTATCTCCATTTTTGAGAACGACGCTCTTAAAGTACTTGATGCGACTTAGTCAAGCGTATATTTAGACTTCCATGAAATCGGTCTAAACTCGGGTATTTCATTTTATCCAAAATATCATAGTGAGCTCAGCAGATCCCTGGAACACAAAATCTGTCTTCTGAAGATCGACTGGCTAAAATGAACCATTTCCGCTGGTCAGACAAAATAGGCAAAATCTTTGCGTCTGACATGTGATTTTTATCACCTTCTGGAAAAAATATTTGTAGGCTCATTCTGACAACCCTAATCAGCCAAGAACCAAGTTGGGATAGGGGTGAATATTTATAGCTCAGAATGAGTATTTTGAGGATTTTTCGTTGTCTGGTTAGGATGGCTTAATCGTGATGCTTCCACAGTCTTTCTTGACGGAATCATCAGTAAGCATTTCAATAAGAAGTGAGATATTTGAATTTCTCCGCAGCTGACTAGCTGCTCGCTCTGTCAACCAATAATTTTATTGGTTGTTGTCCATATGTATATGGCCGTTGTTTGTACGTTTCTTTGGTTGTTTTTACTACTGATCTGACCTCTCTTCGTCGAGTTGCTAGCCTTTTTTCCTTATTGGGTTATAGATTGAGTCGACTTGGATGTGTATCGTTTCTTCTGATGTTTTTGTGTTAACATATATTCTGTCCTGCTTTCAGTTTATCCAGGATTGCAATTATGTTATTGTTTACAACCTCTGAACAGTAGTCAGAATTTATGTTGTTGACGTTACCGACCACTATCTTACTTATGTCTTACTCGAAGTCAAACCGGAAATTAGCAGTAAAGAAGTATTAAGGTATTCTGCGTATTGAGAAATGGCTGCCTGGTTGTTGAGAGGGCAACACAGCACGACGTTGGTGATCTGATGAGTATGAGTAACAGAGGGCCTTCAGCTATAATGCGTCAGGTAAAGCTGATCATATCAGCACCAATTTTGAAGCCTTGCGAAACTATTTACTTTATGAGTTTATTTATCACTCCACTACTCGCTATCAGGTAACAGTATAAATATTGCTAATTTTTTGATCGCGTACTATGCTATAGCTGAGCTTACCAGTTTGATGTTGTAACGGCAACTGTATATATCTCAGTGACAATCTAAAGCGAGTTGGAATCAGAGTACAGTAAAGACTACGCTGAAGATCCTTCTCAAGTGTACTACTGGGCAGTACTTCTATTTCTTTGTTTTTTCTCCCTGTCCTATATTTTAATTTTTACCCATATCTCTTGTAACCACGACATATTCTTCAGTCTTCCTTGTCTTGGCCTTTGCTATTCGACTTTGATTAAGGATTTACCTTCATTACTTGATCTTACTGCTGCATATAACCAGACTGGTGACGACAAGGCAGTTTTTGGCTAAAGTCAGGTTCACAACATGGTTCAGCTAATAACAGTTGACCTTTGGCTGCCTGCTGAAAACGGCTACTCTAAATTACGCAGATAGATATTTTCATCTTATTTTGTCGGAAACACTTGTAGAATTATGGTCTTATTCGGCATTATTACTACTATGATAATAGACCTAGTCCCAAAATTGTAAATTTGTCTTGACGTGACTACCTGATCTACAAGATCTCGCGTGGAGGTCACAGCATTATCTATTCTAACTCGTTGTATGGTGACACAGCATAACAATTTCTAGCACTTCTGATGAAGGCATTTGGGCCGGGGATATAATAAGTTATTTCAATCGGAATAGGGATTTGTTACAAGGATGACTACCTCTGTAAGGCTAAGCCATACCCGAGATTACCAAAAGAATAATAAGACAAATAAAAAAGAAGGCTGAATTAACTGATCGGGGAATAAGTTCAATAATTCCGGAATGTTTGGTATAGTTCTCGCATACTCGAAATGAAAACGTACATGGATAAAATTCAAGTGTTAAACAAACATGCATTGTAATAATGTAGAATAATTAAGATGCATAGTAATAACCGTTCGTTAATAGTTTGGCTTGTGCGAGGTATAGGTACTTTGTGCTTGGAAATAAATAAACATTCAATATTATCGAAATCTTTATATTATTATTATCTTTAGTTTAAGTTAGAGAGTCAGTTAACGTTTATGTCGGTAGGCTGTCCGTATGACTTGATTTCCGGTCAAAAAAGTATAACGGAGGAGAGGAAGAATTCCAACCAGTGTTTTAGTCAGATTCTCAAGTTTAAAACGGTCTATCTAGTTGTGGAGAGATCTCGATCACATTATTGATTAACCGTGATACGATTGGATAAAACTGTCAATACATATGAATGGTTATCAAAAATCCTTTTAATACATGAAAGTAATGATAATCATGTGAGTCTCCGATAGATAGCTAACATTTATCCGTTAGACATGAGTGGATCCGTGAGAGACTTTTTCTAGACTCAGTGCTTTGATGTGCATTAAACCATTTATTTATATTCACACTTACGGGCTGATGATGCATACAAGTTAGTTGCAAGAATCGAGTTTGGATTAGGGTAAAGATCGATTTATTTGGAATAGAGTCATCATAAGTTGTTGAAATCGACAGAGCCTATATGTCACAAGTATAGGCTACATGGTGTTGAACGATGTTTTCGTCTTAATCAATCTTTACAAGGTGATAAACAGTGAGAGCTGCTCAGGGAGAACACAAGTTGTATCAATGCCACTACATACTCTTATTGTTTCTCATGTACCGAATACTTATTTATCAACCATTCATTTTCCTGTTTGGCACGTCATTACATCATAGACTAAACTTTGACTGTAATGCACAAGCTATTCCATGTGAGGTATTTTGCGCTTTTATGTAATTTGTTTCTATTCTTAGATAAGAACAGATCAAATTATACATATTCTTTGTGTTTTGATGTAATTTAACACCACCTGCTAAAAAACCGCTTCGTACGATATACAGAAGAACGTAGTTTGGCCCAATCAAATAACGTAGGTTTGATAACTCCTCATTCATACCGAATCCCGGAATTTCGGTCCTTATAGAGATGGTAACCGTGGAAGTTAGTTTGTACACATATTCTTGGCCAGTTCGTAAACAAAACAAAATGATTGGAGAAGAAACGGGAAGACACGAGGTTCCAAACTTAAACGCACGTGTTTACCTAAACAAATATGACCATTCGGTTATTCAACCGGCTATTGCTCAATGAGCTCAGGCAGTCAAACCTGAATTACATCGAGTAGATGAGTTAATAAGGGACATAGGGTTGTTACCAGTTCCAAGAAATAAACGTTTCTACTAGCTCAGGAATAATACTTTCTGAATGAGTCGCGTAAAGTTTGTCCGAAAGAAAATATTTTAATCCATGGAAATATCAGTAGCTAACTTGCTGAGAACCGCAAACTTATTTATTTGCTAAAACATTAGTTGTTTCCTGCTCTGCAAGCATGCCATATTCCATAGTCGAAAAATGCACAACCCCAACCAGTTCACGGTAATTAATGTTATTATTCACAAACAACTTATTGGTTCATATGTGTTGTAAAGAAACCATTCCTGGTTTCGTCAGAAATGCAGTTACATATAAGTTCCAATAGCAAAAAGACAAAAAATATATAGAGTAGTATTTCTGTTTTGTCACATTTTCTCCCTAAATCTTACTTTGCATGCTAGGTTTACCGTTATTTAGAATGACTATTAGTACTGCTACCTTCGAAATCAAGAATAAAACTCAAATTTAAGAACATTTTAGATTTGATTATGTACTTATTCGTAATTAGAATGGTATGTATGTAGTTATAACCACTACAAATTTTCACTTCATAATAATAATTACAGTTATTATTGTGAAGAAACAATTTTGGGTTTATTCAGAAATTCAATAATACACAAGGTTCAATAATATTTTCACAGTATCACCTCATTTAAACAGTTTCCGTAGCATTTAAAAATACTTAGTTGGCTTTAGAGAAATAAGAAGGGAAAGAAAGTGAAATATGTTAGTGAAATAATAAGGATAAACAGTAACTTATATTACGGAAAGAACCACAAAACAAATCATGAATGCAATAAGATTTGATGGTAGAATAAGAGTTTGTAGTGACCTACTTTTATGAATAGAACACGATTGGCATAATGGAAACAATTATTATTATAACCAATTGTACCAGTGATTGTTTTGCTGTACCTGTTTTTTTAAGTGTACTAAAAACACACATTCTTCCATTGCATGTGACCTTGCACGAACCCGCGCACACTCCGTAGCCCCTCTTGTAAACTTTGGCATGATCTCGGTATTATTTCGATACCACAAGATCGCCAACAAGTGCGTCTTACTACAATCTTCAATTGCCTTCTGATAGTTGGTCTACCGAGAGATCGGACCTGGTATTTGAAACGTAGTCTCCCTATAGTGGTGATCATAGTCAACCGCGACTCGACACTACACTACAAGTTTATGCAGTAATAGTTTAGAATGACGCGGCAAAAGCCTTATTAGTTTGCGGAGAATGATCGTTAAATATCAAATTGTATGAGTCATATATACATGGTGAAGATGAAATGGATCTGAAAGGTCAATCTATATAAGTACGTCTAATATAAGACTTTGTCTTTCTAACTAGAAACTCTGAGCGGGTGGAAATGAAATTTATGTAGATGGAAAGGAGAAAAACAAAAGTATATTTAATTTGTTAAGGAAGCAATTATTAGATTATCATTTACACGAAAGAACTTTAAAAAGATTGAAAACTTCCGCTTAGTTTTAAAGTCAATCAGATAGAGATCCGAACTTGTTGGTATAAATCATTGGTAATCATGCCGGTATTTGATAAGTGACGCAAACCGCTGGGGAAATTAATCAAGGAGAATCTTGAACTGGGTTATAGTTTCACTGCAATGAAGGATTAATCGGAGTCTG